AGGCTTACATCCTTAAAGTCACGTAACCTGAGAGAAAAGAGACGCTTTCTTTATCAGCTTCAGTCCAGAGAAGACTGGCCAAGCTTGGGTCATGTGCCAACCTGATAAACCAATGACAGTGGCCCAAAGGATAAGGTGCTGTGACCAGCTCACGTCATGCACCTATGGTGACCTATTTCCCATAAAGAGGCAGTACAAACAAGGCTTCTGAGGAAATCATTGAGGGGGCAATCCAACTAAAAACAACACTTCTCAAGTTACCAGACAATGATTTGTGAGTACCTATAGGACAGAAACTGAAACTCACGTTAACTCATCACAGAGCCTGGCACATGCTAGGTACTCAGTAAATGGTTCTTGAATGAGTGCAATGAGCCATAACTGAGGATCAACAAAGTCTGATCAAGAGACCAGCTGAGCAGCTTTTAAATAGAAATTTTAAATAGAAATGAAAAGTGCAATAAAATTTATGGACAGCTCTTCCCTACTGTTGGGAAAGTACCTTATAGAAAAATCATAAAAATATGTGCCCTTCTGTCAAAGGTAAACAGGAAACATGCAAACTTACGTAGATCAAAGTGGGTGGAGAGGGGCAGTCCAAGTACTCCAGGTGTTCACATTAAGAAACTAAGGATATTGCCCATTATGGTACAATTTCAGAAGGACATTTTTTAGCTCCAGGATTTTACCTAGAGATTTTCATCTCAATAGTGAAGACTTTGCTGCTCTTTTGAGCCAAAGACTTCTATGTTTAGATAGAAATAGTCAATGATCTTGAATGCTAAATTATTCTAGACAAGGCCCACTAATGAAATGTGAATGGTTCTGTCCATGGCTTTATAGTTGCTCCCTGAGTTCTAATCTACGATTAACTAACAGGCAACTGGGGGATTTGGGGCTGATCTCACAGACTATTCCCACCCTGTTATGGCTACCTGTAATATGGGTGTCACACAGATAATGGTCACAGCAATAGGAGATGGCAAAGAAAGAGGCTTTTGGAAAATTTAAAGAATTTTGTGACATGTATAAAAGTAATAGCCCACTAATCTGTGGAGAAAAGCTCACTCAATTGTTCCTTTGGCAAATATTTACTGAGCGTCTACTCAGTGCCAGGCCCTGTGCTGAGGGCTGAGGATACAGGGACAGTCTCAATGTAACTCAGGGACTTGCTGGAGACAGACATGAGAAGGGGTGAATTATGAAACTATGTGGAATCCACAAGCACTGTGGAAGCACGCAGGGCTGCCAGCTGAGTTGTACTTCTTTAAGGAGGAAGTATCTGTGCTCAATCTAAAAAATTGAAGAGATCTATCTTTACCTTGTGGAGCCCTGGTTTCTCAGATCCCTTCCTCACCACCACATTGGCTGAGCCCCTCTGGGCCAACCACTGTGTCAAGACTGGAGAGGTTGAGATGAACGAGAAGCCATCCCTGCCTTCCACTAACTTAGAAAGAACAATCAACATGTAATCAAACCACTGCAGGAATAGGATTAAGCAAGTGGAATGGAAGATGAAATTTAATCTTCTGATTCGTGGATTACTGCCCACAGTCAACAAGTTGGGTTTATTATTGCATACAACCACACCCACCACCAACCTTCTTACCAAAAACAGTTTCACTTCCATATTTAATTAATATTTTAGTCAAGCCTCATCTCCTCCCTATGCTAACATTTTCCTACTTGTAAAGCAGTTAAAGTTATGTATTTCCAAAACACATTTGTTTCCTTTGGTATGAGGAAAGCAGTAGAAATACTATGCATCTACTTTTTAAAAACCCTAACCTAGGGGCTTCCCTGGTGGTGCAGCGGTTGAGAGTCCCCCTGCCGATGCAGGGGACGCAGGTTCGTGCCCTGGTCCGGGAGGATCCCACATGCTGCGGAGCGGCTGGGCCTGTGAGCCATGGCTGCTGAGCCCGCGCGTCTGGAGCCTGTGCTCCGCAACGGGAGAGGCCACAACGGTGAGAGGCCCGCGTACCGCAAAGAAAAAAAAAAACAAAAAGAATCCCTAACCTGCTTATGTTTTCCAGTGATTAGAGTGAGATTTATGTTGAGGGTGGGAAGAAAGGTACTCAATAAATGAATGTTTGGTATTTGTTACTTTTAGAAATCTTCCTAAAGACTGATGAATCAGTCAGTCTTCATGTGTGTGGTGTATGTTGAAACCTCAGGAACTCTCCTAGTTCTAATAAAAAGCAATTGTTCAAGAAGCACTTGGCTATTGGTTTTCAACCGTGGTTTTTTTTTTTTTTCCATTTGAATAACATTCAGAGATACTCGTCCTCTGAAAAATGTTATGAAACTAAAGTGCGGATCGGTGATGTTTTTCCCCTTGAGGACAGTAGAAGTAAGTTCAGGGGCTCTCTGATGTACCCAGCATGCTGCCAGGGAAGGCTGCTCGGACCCCATCACGGTGCTCATTGCTCCTAACTGTCCACCTACCTCATCACCACTGGCACCAGCCGTCATCTCTGGAGAGATGCTCAAGGCCACACTTCCTCCTGGAGGAAGCTAAGGTCTCCGGAGCCGCGACTGGGAAAACTCTTGGCCATCTCTCTAAGCAAACTTCATGTGAGGAGCCAGACCATAAGCCTCTGAGATCTAGGAGGAGAACAGAACTGGGGCTGCTTGTTGTTTTTTCTTTTCATATCTGCAAAATCATTCCAAAAATCATAACAAAACATAATGCGTTTTTTTTCTTTGGAAATACTGTCTTAGAATGATGAAAAAAATACTTAAAAAAAACAAAAGCCAGCAGCCCATTGAAATCATATGGGTGGAGATTTTGTGATGATTGCCCAGCTTTCCACTGCCTTTGGGAAGGTAAAGGTCTGTGGTGCTAATTATGTCACGAACGCGTGCAATGGAGAAAGTCTACGTTGCCACACAGGGAGATGGTTTTTATTATTGTCACTGAAACAGACTAACCGATTCTTACAAATATTCTTTTCCTTGGGGTGTTGCTGCATAGTGCTAGCTTTGTACTTAAGGGTCTATTGTTCCTTGTTTCATAGTAAGAGCAGAACCTTCTGAAAAATAGGGCATTGAGAAATTCTAAAATATTCTTTTCCTTATATTTAGGAAATCAGGCTCACTTCATAGTCTACATCAGGGTCACTCTCTTCTCAGAGGTTTGTTTGTCTTTTTTGCGGTACGCGGGCCTCTTACTGTTGTGGCCTCTCCCGTTGCGGAGCACAGGCTCTGGACGCGCAGGCTCAGCGGCCATGGCTCACGGGCCCAGCCGCTCCGCGGCATGTGGGATCTTCCCGGACTGGGGCACGAACCCGTGTCCCCTGCATCGGCAGGCGGACTCTCAACCACTGCGCCACCAGGGAAGCCCTCTTCTCAGAGGTTTTAAAGATTAGTTTCTCACTTACCTTTTTAAGTTCCCTTGCCTTTTTAAGTTTCAAACGTTATACAAAAGGTAATACACGTTTGGGAAAGTGTTTATCCACTTTAAAACTTGAAAATGGGACTTCTCTGGTGGTCCAGTGGTTAAGACTCTGAGCTTCCACTGCAGGGGGCACGGGTTCCATCCCTGGTCGGGGAAGTTCCAGATGCCTCGTGGTGTGACTTTAAAATGTACTCGGTACCTATCAATTACACCATTCACATCTGCTTCTAGGAAGGAGCAGAGAAAGCTAACAATAAAACACTATTATAAGAATACTGAAGAGACTAGGAGTCAATTGAAGGCAAGAGGGAGAAAAATAGTTACAGCAGGAAGTGTAAGATAATGACTTCCTTTGAGAAGAAAGCTTGGCACCCAACTTCCTTGACAAAAAGGAAACATAATAGATCCTGGTGAAATGTAAATGCCTTTTTTCTCCTACATTCTAAGGGCTATCGCAACATGAAACATCATGTCCAGATGGGATCTAATTGATTATATGTTAGGATTTTAACAACTTTTGTGCATGTCGATGGATCTGAATGGTGAGTTTTAGTCAAAATCAATCTGTCTTGAATCAGTAAACAAGGAAGGAGACCGTGGGGAACATTTCCTTGTATGAAGACATAGGCATCCTTGTCACCATCAGACAGAAAGGTCAGAGCCAAGAAGATTGAGGAATTCACCACGAGGCTCTTATATTTTATTGAATTAACAATCTTTGCATCAAACTCTTACCAGACATTAATATTTAAATGTTCTTCTTATCTCTAGTGCTACCAGTGGTTGAAGGAAAGGATTGTGAGTGAAGAAGGGAGAAAACAGCAAAACAAGCTGAAAGACCTTTCCCCGATTGCGGAGCGTCTGGGATGCACGCTACCTCAGCTAGCCGTGGGTGAGAAAGTCACTTGGGAGGGGAAGCCTTGCTGGATCGCGGAAAATGAAATCATTCTCTATTGCTGATCCACATCTCTTGCATGATAACGTACCTACTTCAGGGGCAGATGATCTCTGAAGCATAGACTCCTGGTTCATACTATCTAAAACGAGACATAGCATTAGATAGGTTTTTCAGAGTTCCCTAGAGTAGTTCCACATGCTGAAACACTTTTCTTACTTCCTTCTCCTTTCCCTTATAACACAGTTTAAACAAGAACACGTCAGTGAAAATGCACACATCCTCACAGTGTCAAGGGTGAGCACCCCTGAGCTGTGTAGTGACATCTGTTGCTTCTGGCTCAATTTTCCATCCCCGTCGAAGGTAAGGCGGGGGTGGGGAGAGGCTGGGGGGGAGGGCGGCGCGCGG